TTACCTTCAAGCCTTTAAGACCCCAGACACTATATCTTTTGATAGTCAGGCACCATCAGCTTTCTTCGCCACATTTGCTTATGCACCCATTTGTCTTCAGCGATCGCTACTTATGAGATGAGTTTCGAGGAGAGAGGTTAATTTGGTGTTGTCATTCTATCTTTCTCAGTGAACCTCAGTCGATGTGTTATATTGCAACAGCTAACCTGGATGGAGAGACAAATCTAAAAATTCGGAAGGTAAAGACACCTTTTCTTTTTTTAAGCCAACTTTTCTTATTCTGACTTTATACCTGAACTCCACAATGTCAAGTTTTGTCAAATATCAGGTTTAAAAAAAAAATCTCCTAGCCCCCAAATAAATAAATAAATAAGTCATTACCATTGAATGGACGTGACTTCTTCTGATGAGATATTTAGAAGGTACTTTATGATTACTGAACAGCCCTGGTAGTGCAGTGGGTTAAGTGCTCAGCTGCCAGCCAAAAGATTGGCTCCCCGCTGAGACCAGAAGAACTAGATGTTGCCCGGTTGCCACTACCACCTGCTCTGGAAGGGATCCCAGGAGAAGATCCTGGATAGAATCCTGGATAGAGTCAGAGAAACATGTGACACAAGCTAAAAACCGTAACAGGGAGCAGGCTTCCTGGGACCGGTGGAACCCCTGAGCCTACAGCCCTTCATCATCGTTCAAATCTGCAGATGAACTCTCACCCCCAAGACACAATCTTCAGCCAAACAATAGACAGGTCTGTCAGGGGGTCAAGGGTGCTGGGGAGGTGTGCACACCTTAGAACTGTCAGCCACTGAAGATCAAGGCACGGCGGTCAGACGGTTTAGGGAAGGAAGAGGAGCAGACGCAGGCAACACAGGGAGGAGGTGGGACAGGCAACGGTGCATTGCATGAATTGTTGAATGAAAACCCGATCTTCTCGATCGCCTTAACCTCATCCACCGTAAAAAGTTAAAAGCCAAAAACCAACAGAGGCAAAAGGTCAGCTCTTTGAATTCTTCAAGGACTCGGCAGGAGAAAGACAGTCCGCGCTTGTAAAAGACTTACAGCCTCGGAAACCCTCTGGGGCAGCTCCTGTTAGGTCGTTGTGAGTTGGAAGTGACTTGAGGGCACTGGGTTTTCCTGGTGATTATTGTTACAATGGGGAGCAAGTGAATGCATCACCACTGTTAGGAAAAGGCTCCCTATAAAATTCAGGTGCCCATGAATTGATGTGCCCTGCTTTCTCCCGGTAGTTTTATGGAGGTACAGTTCACATATCCTACACCTCCATCGTTCAGCCACATCAGAAAGAGTTGTGTGTACAGCACCACAATCAGTTCCAGAACAGCCCCCCTCCTGGATTCATTGTCTGCTCCCCATTTCCTTCCAACCTCCCCTCACTCTCCCTGATAAGCCATTACACCAGTTATTGTCTCTGTGCGTCCACCCCTCCTGTGCTTCATAGACTAGAAAAGATTATCCACCCCCCAAAAAAAGCCCTACCACCCCGAAAACGGCTAATATGTTTTTAAAAAGAACAAAAGACCAATGACGATATATAAATAAATCACAACCTCTGCAAAGAAAAAAGCAGGAAACATCGAAAACCCGAACCAATGGGAACGGGTCAAAAGGGCGATGGACCGACCAGACACCCCATTTTCACGTCACTGCAGCTGCCATCGCCGCGTGCACCCCAGTCTGTCTGATGGCCAGGTTATTCACCTCCCTTGACTGGTCAGAAGGGATCCCCCAGAGGCTTACTCCACGTTGGGACCCTGAAGCTGGATTGGGGCTCACCCATAGCCTTCTCTGCACATTGTTTTGAGGCTACGTCTACTAGTATTTTATAGAGAACACTGTTCTTGTGACTGTATCGTAGCGAGGTACAAATGAGTTCTCCATGGTCCCTCATACCACTGATTTGTAAACTCTCACCTGTGTTTCAGAAGAACTAGTGATTATGAATGAGGGGAGAAGGTTTTTCAAATTTTTATTCATGGAGTAGCGGGTGGTGACCTTCAAGAAAATTGATTTTCTGCTGTCTTAGTTTGCCTCAAGAAAGATGCCTTTGGTTTTATTTCAGTCCAGGGATGAATTACCCAATAAGCAAGGTCAGCATGGGCTGATTTGTGTTTACAATGTAGTGAACAATCTTGTTTGTTAGTCAGTAAGCACAAATAAGCCTGTGATTGGTGACCTGGCCTAATGGGTGCCCTGCCGAGGACTGTGGATTGGACAAGAGGCTCTGATGTGTTAAGAAGGTGCTGTCTTGGGCTGGGTTCTCGACAAAAGCAAAACCAGTGATTGTATGTACTTGTAGGGCTGCTCACTGCGAGATCAGCCATTCGAAACCACCAGCCACTCCTTGGGAGAAAGGGGGCTTTCTACTCCCATAAGCAGTGACCGTCTCAGAAACCCAGGCACAGTTCTACACTAGTGTTGCTGTCAGTGGGAATAGACTTGATTGCAGTGAATATATATCAAGTTCTTTCATATTTCATATATATATATACATGAAAGAAATTGATAGCAAGGATGTGGCTCGCCTAGTTCCAGGACTGGATGAGTGCACTGTGGTTCAAGTCTGCGAGGCGGATGTTAAGCTGCAGATTTCATCCGACTCATGTAGCTGCTGGGTGGCTGACAAACCAGGAGGCAGGAAGATGAACCAGGAGGCAGGAAGATGCAGCAGGGATACGAGGGCTGGTGGATGTAGAGGCGGATGAATCCAAAGCCCCAGGTCAGAGGTTAGGGTCTAATGCAGTGGTTCTCAACCTTCCTCATGCCGCGACCCTTTAATACAGTTCCTCATCTGGTAGAGACCTTCCCAACTATAAAATTATTTTCATTGCTACTTCATCACTATCATTTTGCTACCGTTATGAATCGGGCGACCCCTGTGCAAGGGCCATTCGACCCCCCAAAGGGGTCGCCACCCACAGGTTGCGAACGGCTGCTCTCATGACTCCCAGGGTTGGCCGACAATATGGTGGGCCATTGGCTCAAGTCCTATAAAACAAGATTGATGAGCCAATACAGGACCCAGAACACCCTCCACACTGTCTGTTTATATATTAGGTAGACCACCCCCCCCTTGCCGAGGGAACATCATTAGGGCTGTGATCTGAGTAAGAGGGCTGCGTTCCACCTGAACCCCCTCTCACACTGCTTGGCTGCTCACAGCCGATCCCGATCATGGAGCTGATTACATTGTGCTAGGTCCTATCAAGAGGGAGGCCTCCACTGCCCAACCATGGAGAACCCTGGCCCAGCCAAGCTGGCACAGAGCTTAACTGGCACAGGTACTGTGCTGTTGGGAGGGAGACAGATGCCAGACTATCTGATGAATGTGCTAAACAGAAGTAGGACAGCCGAGGTGATGAAAGAAATGTGAAATTGTTCACTTCAGATTAGTAAGCAAGCACACACGAGCTCATGCTTGCCTGGATGCTTGGATAATCTGGCACCACAGTTGACGATTTGCGTGCCTTTTTGCTGCTGCTTTTTGCAAAATTGGGAAGAGTTCCCTCCTCTCTTATGACTTCTCTGGGAGAAATTATGTAAAATTGGTGCTAGTTCTTTTTCAAATACAGGTTAGGATTCTCCAGTGAAACGGGCAGGACCTGGAAGGGTATTTATTTTATTTTTGGGGGGAATTTGAACACTATTACTTCACTCTCCTTGTTAATTAGAATGCTATTTGTCTATTTCATAGGTGATAGTGTGTGTTAGTCCGGGTTTACTAGAGAAACAAATCCAGGGATACTCATGTGTGTGTGAGAGAGAGCTTTATATCCAAGAGTAATTGTATATTAAGAAAACATTCCAGCCCCATGCAGATCAAGTCCATAAGTCCAATATTAGTCCATATGTCCAATACCAGTCTATACATTCCTCTTCAGACTCACACAACACATGCAATGACACCAAATGCAGGAAGATCACAGGCCAGTCAGTGGAAAGTCTTGTGGATCCAGTGATGGTGGAAACCTGTCAACACTGGCGTGGGTCTCCACAGGGCTCCCCCAGCTCCAGGGCTCTGGCTCCATCAGCGTGACTCCATGGGACTTGCCCACAGGATGTAAAGCAGAGAGTTTGTGTCCTGGTGTGTGTGTGTGTCTGTGTTGAGTCAATCCATTTATCTAAACTGTCAAATGCGCATGTGCGCTGCTTCTAGGATTCCTCCATTTTTCGTCTTCACGTTCTCTTAAAGACAGTCTGCTTTTTCTCTCTGGAAGCTTGAGCTCATCTTCATGGAACGTCCTGTCCCTAATTCAGCGGATTTTAGGTTGTGAATCTTGCACCAGAAGCTAAGTGCTTGACTACTAGACCAAAGGCCGGCTATTCACATACACCCAGAAGCTCCTGCATCAACAGGCCTAGTGATCTGCCTCTGAAAGGTCTTGAGATCCCTATGGAACAGTTGGACCAGGGGTCAAAATCCACCCCATGGCAACTAGTAATGGCAACAACACAGACCTCCCGAACAGCCCTCCCCCCAGGGCGGGGTTAGGAGGGACGGTGGAGTTGGATCTGACTCAGCACAACAGAAGGAAACAATGCCCCCTCCTGCCCCCTCCTCCCTCCCCATCCTTATGTTTGAGTCCATTGTTGCAGCCGCAGTGTCAGACCATCTTCCTCCTCTTTGCGGACCCTCCACTTCGCCAGATGATGCCCTCCTCCAGGGACTGGTCTTTCCTGATGCATGTCCAAAGTAGGTGCGATGTAGTCCCTCCATCCTCGCTTCCAAGAAACATTCCAAGGAGGACCTCTTCCATGATGGGTTGGTTGGTTCTTCTGTACCCCCGGGGATGGGCCCTGTGATCTGCGTCTTGCCATGACTTGTAGGTGGCTCTGCCATACGATCGAGCACGACTGCTCTGGACATCTCAAACTGTAGTCCATGGGTCAGCTTCATATTGGCAGGTACTGGGAGCTTGTTTGAAACAGGGAATTCTAGGTTCCATTGCGGACTGACTGGACTTAGTAACTGCAACTTAGTAAGATCTTCAAGTGATTTGTGTTGTTGCTGCTGTTAGGTGCCATCAGGTTGGCTTTGACCCATTGCAACCCTGCACACAACGGAATAAAACGCTGCCTGCTCCCGCACCATCCTCATGATTGTTCCTGTGCCCGAGCCCATGGCTGCAACCACGGTGTCGTCCATCTCCTTGAGGGCCTCCCTCTCTTCCGCGGCCCCTCGACTTTACCAAGCACGATGTTCCTCTCCAGGGACTGGTCTCTCCTGACAACACGCCAAAGTCTGGAAGATAAAGTTTCCAATCCTCGCCTCTCAGGAGCGCGCTGTCTTTACTTCTTTCACTGCAGATCTGTCCTTTGAGCAGACCAGGGGGCTTTCGGTCTTCCTGTCCAGCACCACCATTCAGAGGCAGCTCTTCTTCCGCGGTTTTCCTTTTTCAATGTCCAACTTTCACATGCCTGGGATGTAATTGAGGAAACCCATGGCTGGGGTCAGGCACACTTGAGTCCTCAAAGTCACAACCCTTGTTCTTCCACCCTCTAAAGAGGTCTTGGGCAGCAGATTGACCTCAGGCAGTACATCTTTTGATCTCTTGACTGCTGCTTCCAGGAGCACTGATTGTGGATCCCAGTCAGACAACACCTTTGACAGCTTCGACACTTTCTCCACTGATCACGATGTTCCCTGCTGGTCCAGTTGTGAAGATCTGGTCATCCTTCCATTGGGCTGTAAGCCCGACTGAAGGCTGCAGTCCTCGATCTTCATCAGCAAGTGCTTCCAGTCCTCCCCACTTTCAGCCCGCAAGGGTGTGTCACCTGCATCCCTTAGGTTTGTGTTAATCATCCTGATCCTGCCGTCACACTCTTCTTCCCAGAATCCAGCTTCTCCGATGATCTGCTCAGCATATAGATGGACCAGTATGGTGAAGGAGGCAACCCCGAGGCACATCTTTCTTGACTTTAAACCATGCGGTATTTCCTGGTTCTGTTGGCACACGTGCCTCTTGATCCAGGTACAAGTTCTGAGTGAGCACCATGCTGTGTTCCAGAACTCCCGTTCTTCCCAAGGTGATCCACAGTTTATGATGGTCCACACAGGTGAGTGCTTCTGCATAGTCAGTGGAGCACAAGTAAATATCTTTCTGGTATTCTCTGCTTTGAGCCAAGATCCATCGGGCATCAGCCATGATAACCCTTGTTCCACGTCCTCTTCTGGATCCGGCCTGCACTCTGGCAGCTCCCTGTCAATGTGCTGCTGTAACCGTGGTTGGGTGATCTTCAGTAAAATTGTACTTGTATGCGATGTCCATGATATCCGTCTATCGTCCGAGCGTCTGTAGGGTCACCTTTCTTTGAAACCGGCTCAGAGAGGGATCTCTCTCATTCAGCGGGCCAGGTAGCTTCCAAATGCCCTGGCAAGGATGATTGAGTACTTCCAGCGCTTCATCAGCTCTCTGAAACATTTCAGTGGGTATTCTGTCAATTCCTGGAGCCTTGTTTTTGGCAAGCGCATTCAGTGAAGTTTGAGCTTCTTCTGTCGGCACCACTGGTTCTTGCTCATCTGCCACCTCCTGAAATGTTGGGCTGTCGCCTAGTTCTTTTTGGTACAGTGACTCTGTATTCTCTCCTCTTTTCTTGATGCTCCTGTTTCATTCAATAGGTTGCCTCTAGAATCTTTTAAAATTGCAATTTGAGGCATGAATTTTACCTTGGGCTCTTCAGTTTCAGACCCACTGAGCATGCTCTTCCCTTTGTTTTCTAATTCTAAGTCCCTGCGCATTTCGCTATACTATTTGGCTTTGTCTTCCCTAGCTGCCCTTTGGACTTTCCACTCAGCTCCTTGACTTCACCCTTTCTTCCATTTGCTTTAGCTGCCCTATGATTAAGATCAATGTGCAGAGTCTCTTCTGACATCCACTGTGATCTTTCCTTTCTCTCCCGTCTTTTCAACAACCTTCTGCTTTCTTCACGCGTGACGCTCCTGATGTCCTTCCCCAGCTCACCAGGTCTTCAGTCATTAGTGTTCAATGTGTCCCTTGAGATGTTCTTGACATTCAAGTGGATAGAATCAAGGTTGCATGTTGGCTCCTGTGGACTTGTTGGCATTGTCTTCGGCCGCATCCTGAACTTACAGATGAACGGTTGATAGTCTGCTCCACGGCGGTTCAAGTGCACCAGCCACTCCCTGAGAGCAAGATGCGGCACTCGTTTGTCACCAAGGTGACAGCGTTGGAAACCCCATGGGGAAGTCCCGCTCTGTCCCATGGGGCTGTGAAGAGTTGGCTTTGACGTGATGGTAATGGAGTTGGCCTTGGGGCTTGGTCTGTGCGGCTGTTATCCTGCCTGCAGGCTGTCAAGTCAGCGCCAACTCCTACCCATCAATGGGACTGAGCAGAGCTGCCTGACGGGGTGTTCTGAGCTGTCACCCCTGTGGGAGCAGATCGCCAGGCCTTTCCGTTGAGGAACGGTGGGCTGAGTTTGAACCACCAGCCTCTCAGCAACCAAGCCCTTGACGATGGTGCGGACAGGGCTCCTTCATGAACTTGTTGCTACTGAGTTGATTCTAACTCGCAGTGACCCTGTCTAACGGTAGACCTGCCTCACAGGGGTGTCAACGCTGTAAGTCCTTCCTAAAGCAGACGGTCGGTCGCGTCTTTCTCCAGTGGAATGACTGGTGGGTTTGATCCACCCATCTAGTGGTGAATAGCCCAAAGCATAACCTGTGTGCAGCCGGAGCTCCTTCAACGAGTAGCTCGGTAGTGTCTGATTCAGCTGCACACACAGACGCTTCAAACAGCGTATCACAGCTGGCTGTCATCGTTAGACTTTCTAAAGGGGTGTTTTCAGCCAGAGGTTTGAGAAACAGAACTTCCCCAGCTCTTCCAACTCTGTTCAAGCTGTTTCGCACATTGCGGGTGGGCCAGAGTCTCCGATGGACTCTCGACGGGAGCTCGGTGTGCATCTGGTCTAGCACAGGGTGGGGGTGGGTGGGGTGGGGTGGGGTTTAGCCAGGGGCTTTCTTTCTTTTTCCCTTTAAGTCGTTTCATTGGCCTATAACTCACATGTCACACAACTCAATCATTCAATCAAATTAAGCAGAACTGTGCAATTATCACCACAGTCCATTTCAGACTCTCGTACTCATTGTGGTTAGCTTCTCATGTCCCCACAACTCTCCATGCCCTTCCCCTATCTCTATAGATTTACTTCTCCTGGATTTCATAGACAAAAAAAAATCAACCAAAACAAAAACACGAAACAAACAAACAAACCCACCAACAAGGACCAAATACATCAGAGAAAAACCTCAACAGAAAAGAAAGTAGGACATACTAAAAATGGAAACAACTTAAAACTGGGTCAAAAGGGAGACTGACGGATAAGGTCTTCCATTTTAACCTAACTACATCTGCCACAGTCAATGGACAATGCTTTCTGTCTGATCGCAAGGCTGTTCACCTCCTTCAACTATGGTCAGGAGGGACTCCCCGGAGGCTTCCTCCATGTGCAAACCCTGCAACTGGATTTGGGGTGTCACTGTTATCCATGGGCTTCTGCAAACCAGGCGTTTAGAATTTGATGTTCTGGTGCTGCTCCCTCCTCTGAATGTGGATTTTAGTACTTACAACCCTTGGATCACACAGCCTGGTGTGCTTCGTCCATGTGGACTTAGTTGATGGCTACATGTTTTTTTTGTTTTTTTTTTTAACATTTTATTGGGAGCTCATACAACTGTTATCCCAATCCATACACACATCAATTGTGTAAAGCGCATTTGTACATCGTTTCTCAAAACATTTTCTCTCCATTTAAACCCCCGACGTTAGGTCCTCATTTTTCCCCTCCCTCCCCGCTCCCCCCTCCCACATGTGCCCTTGATAGTTTATAAATGGGTATTTTGTCATATCTTGCCCTGTCCGACGTCTCCCTTCATCCACTTTTTGGTTGTCTGTCCCCCAGGGGCCGGCTACATGTTTTAAGACAAGCCTTTACCATGCTGTTCTTTCTGATTGCCGGGCACCATCTGATTTCTTGACCACGCTTTGCGACAGCACCCGTATCTTCAGTGATCCAGTCACGAATAACCACAGACTTTCATCAGGTTTTTTTAATTAACTACTGGAGATATTGCACCTGACCACACCGACCTTTCACTTCCCTCGTTTCCCGTCTGTTTTATTTTGTAGGCCGTGCCGCAGACAGCCAACATGCAAAGGAGAAAACAATTATTAAGCTTATCTGGTGAAATAGAATGTGAGCAACCGAATCGTCACTTCAATCATTTTATGGGAACCCTGTACCTCTCTGGCGAAAGGTACGCCTTCCTTTCCCCACGCCTGTCTTTTTCTCTGCATGGGGCGTGGGCGTGGCCATGTCCATCCCCTCCCTGAAGGCACAGCGAGGAAAGCTGGAAGGGTTCACAGTTCACTTGAGTTTGAGAAAGCTAAGGCCATGAGTACCAATGTCATTGTCGGAGAGATTAATAATGTTATGAAGAGTCCTTCATTGTCACCTCTCGGTGGATAGGTGTGGTCTTCTCCTAACCAGCATGCTTGAAAATGCCGGTGAGCTCAGCTCACGTCCCTTCTGAGTCTGCCTTGGGAAGCCCATTCGGATCAGTGGGAGCAGTCAGGATTTGCAGGGGACCATAGAAGGGTCACAGGGAGGTGTGTGATCTGATTATGATGGAAAAGCCTTCCCGACTTGGGTCTACTTCGTCCTTAACATTTCACAAGAACGCCTCGCTCGGCCTGGAGGGCAACCAAACTCATAGGCCCCAAGGCCATTTAGAGCAACTCTCTAGGGCTGAGTAGACCTGCCCTGCGGGGAGTGCCCCGGGCGGTAAGGAAGCAGGCAGCCTCGTCTCTCTCTCACAGAGCGGCTGGCAGGTTCGATCTGAGGACCTGGTGGTTAGCGTTCCAACATGCAGCCCATGCTACCCCCAGGGTTCCACAGGCAGGACCCCTCCAGGAAGTGATGAGGGCAGCCAGACCTGCTTCATGAGCTCCTCTGAGCCTTTTCCAGCCCCCGGGTGATTCACTCAGCAATGCCCTCAGGGGCTCACCGAAAGCTGGTTTGAGACCACTGAGAGGTACCTCTGAGGAAAGGCCTGAGGACCGACTTCTAAAAACTCCATGGAGTGGAGCTCTACTCTGACACACACACACACACACACACACACACACACACACACACACGGAACTACCGGGAGTCGGAGCAGGACGGCAACTCTTTGGGGCTGTGTTGTCAGCACCCCGGTCTGCTTAATCCACCTGTGTCCCCCCAATCCTTCCCGACAGATGGAGTACAGAGTTCATATAGTGAGCAGTGTTTCTGAGGTGAACGAGTGATTCAGCTTCTGGGTCTCGACTAAAGCAAAGAACTCAACCCATTGCCCGCGAGTCCTCCCTTCCGGCTCACGATCCAATAGGACTGGGTAGAAAGGCCCTTTTGGGCGTCTGAGGCTGCAAACCTTTACAGGAGTCGACGGCCCCATCGTTCTTGTTGGAGCACGTGGGGGGCTTAGTGGGTGTCCCTTGCAGTCAGCAGCCTGTCTGGTGGTTCACTGCATCACCAGGACAGGCTCCTTTCGACTAGAGCAGCGAGGTTGCAAACAGGGTAATTGCTTGTGGAAGTTAACCCAGAAACAGGCCCCATTCAGTTGTGTTTTTTGGGCATGATTAGGGCTCCGCTTTACTCTCAAAGGTGCCCCAGCTTGGTTGATAAATTTTATAGGTGCCCTGGCGGCGTACGGGTTTCACACTGGGCCCCTAACTACAAGTTCTGAAGTTCAAACCCACCAGCCGGCCCTCGGGAGGAAGATGAGGTTTTCTACTCCCTGGAAAGAGTTAAACTCTGGGAAGTCACAGGGACAGGTCGACCCGTCCTGTGGGTCGCCGTGGGTCAGCGTTGATCGATGGCAGTGCTCGAGTTGAGTGAATTCTAAGCCGAGGGCCAACACAAGAGGAAGACCCTTGACCAGGTGGATGGACACATTGGCCGCAACCAGGGACTCGCACATAAGAGCAATGGTGATGGCGCCAGGCCAGGGGGTGCTTCATTCTGCCGTGCACGGGGTCAGTGCTGACTGGACATGACAGCAGCAGGTGTACGAGCTGTTTCTCTCTAATATCTGATCAACCCAGCTATGGATTAGTGACGGAGCCCCGGTGTTGTTCCGAGATAAGCTTTGTGTTGCTAACCACAAAGTTGGAGGTTCACACCTACCAAGTGTCCCCCAGGAGAAAGATGAGGGTGTCTGTGCTCTTAGGGATGTATAGTCTCAGAAGCCCTTTACAGGGTCACTGGGAGTCGGAATCGCCTTGCTGGGAGGGGTCCCTGTTGGTTCTGGAGCGGGAGGAATGGATGGTAACGGACGTCCCACCCCCACGCTCTTTTAGAAACAGGTACTTTTTATGGATAGACACTCACTTTATTGCCATTTGCGCCCGATGTTGAGCCTGGCAAAAGCACATGGATGTAAGGCGAATGTCTATGCTTTCTTTGACTCTGTGTAAAGAGACAACTCTGTCGACAGCTCATGAACTCTCTGTTGTGCTTCCAGCCCTGTTCCGATCGGGCCTGACCAGGTCTTGCTAAGAGGCACCCAGCTTAGAAATACTCGGTGGATCTTTGGCATCGTTGTTTATACTGGACACGAAACCAAATTCATGCAGGTAAGACCGTCAGTGCTAATACAGAGCACTGCTTCAAGATTTGTCTCTATTGTTTTGTGAGATGAAGTAATTTCAACCCACTGCCGATTCTGAGACCCCACCCCCACCCCCAGGACAGAGTTGAACTGCCCGATAGGGTTCCCGAGACTGGAAGTCTTCACAGAAGCAGACCATCCTTGACTTTCTCTCAGGGAGTGCCTGCTGGGCTCAACCCCCCAAACGTTTGGTTGGAAGCCCAATGCTTCGCACTGAAAGAGCTTAGTATATGTTATTTGTGTTTTTGTTTTGCTTTTTAACTCACTGTCACCAAGTTGACTCCCATTCATAGTGACCCTCTATCAGAAAACCGAGGCTATGAATCTTCAGGGCAGCAGACAGCCTCAACTTCCTCCAGAAGAGCAGAGGGTGGGTTTGAATCAGCGGCTCTCGGTCCAAAGCTTATCCGGCAGCACCGCCAAGGTATCACCCTTTATATTTGCTCACCTGAAATCTGAAGGGTGGCCCGTCTTTCAACTCGACTTTCAGAGACTTCTCTGACTTTTAAGGTGACTTCTTGCCAGACACACAGTTATCCTGTGTCTCCAGGGACGGATAGAGATTCTGTTAAAATAGGCACCGTGAGTCCACTGTAGTTTGAAATGAGTGAATTGAGTAAATCATAGTCTGAAATGAGTGCATGTTGTAACCAGTGTGTGTCAGGCTGGTTCTCCAGAGAAGCAGTGGCGCTTGTCTCGAAAGAGACAGATATGTACGTGAAGGAGGTGGCCCACAGAGCTGGAGAGGTGGGCAGGTCCAGTCCGCTTCAGGCCTAGGGGTCAGATGTGAAGCTGGGGAGGGTGGGGGGGTTGGGGGGCGTCCTCCTGACTTGAGTAGCTGTGGAGGCGGATGAACCAGGAAGCAGGAAGACAAATCAGGAAGACCACAGGCAGGTGGATGCGGAATCAAATGGATCTACACGTCGACAGGCTGCTGCTGGCTCCTCGGGTCGGCAGACACGATGGCAGGCCCCGGTCTCAAGTCCAAAGAACTGGAGGTCCATGAACCCGCTGCAGGATCCAGAACCACCCAAAGGGAGCTAGCGTCCCCACGGAGTCGGCTTAGGTAGGAGTGAGCCACCCCGTCAGGGAAGGCTTCTTTCCAGCCACACCAGGGCTGTGGCTGCGTGAGAGGGTCGCATGCCACCCGAACCTTCCCACCGCTGCTCACAGCAGCTCCCCTCATGGAGGTGATCACATGCAGGGGGAGGCCTCCTCTGCCACACCACTGAGACCCCTGACCCAGCCAGGTTGGCACAAAACCTAACCACCACGCAATGCTTATTGCTTTGCTCTCGATGATAAAAGATGGCATTTCTACGCGAATGATGCTGGTTTCACATTACGTTTATATTGGTGGTTTTAAGCCATCATGATAAGAGAGGTTTTCGTGGGGTTTTTTTTGCCAAGCTGACTTTATAGCTTACGTAAGTTATCATTCTCACGCCCCATTCTCCTCTGCTGTTAACTTTCCCGAGAGTTTGTGGTTTCCCGTGACTTGTGTGGGTTCTTGACCTGTTTCGAATTGGTTCTTGGGCTCCATTGTTAACTTTGGGAAACCCCTGGGGATGTCTTGCTGGGTCCCAGCCCTTGTGGAGGCTACAGCATCAGCCGTAGAAGCACTGTGAGTACATTAAACAAAACTCATTAAAGCACCTTAAACAAAAGCACATTTCACGACTGGCTTCACACAGGCCTGACGTCACACCAAACACAACGAGGTAGGAGCGGCCATGAGCCGTATCCATGCAAGTCTGACAGTCAGAGGGGGCTGCTCCAAGACGGCGATGTCTCAGCTGGGACTTGAAAGGTGCATTAGAGTTCACCAGGCAAAGGAGGGCAGACAGAGAGACAGGGTGCTGCACGGAGAAATTTTCTGTGTGGAGGTGCTGGGGGAAAGGAGAAGGGCCGATCTCTCCTAGGGATTGGGGATGTTGAGAGAGCTGTAATGTTGCATGGGCACCAAGGGGGCAAGTGGTGGAAGGGAAGGCTGAGGTCACCGATGGTGGTCAGGGTGAGGTGGGTCTTGATCGGTCCCACACAGCAGCGATGGCTAGCGATTCAACAAGATCCCTGTTCTTAATTGCTTCCTGGGCCCAATCCGCGATGGGGTCTCATGAGGAACTTTTTACCCACTGGGCTCTGAGCAGAAGTGGTGGTCATCCCATCTCCATCACCTCTGTGCAGCACACATCCCCTACAATGACTTTGGGCCACATGCTGAAGAGGCTGTCAGCCGGATTCCTGAATGGATTCCTTGCGTGGAATAAGGCCATTCTAGTATTACAAGAGGTTGACGTTGTCAAGGATTTCATCTTGCTTGGATCCACAGTCAATGCTCATGGAAGTAGCGGTCAAGACATCGGCCGGCACATTGGATTGGACAACTCTGGTGTACAAGACCTCTTTAAAGTGTTGAAAAGCAAAGATGTTACTTCAAGGGCTAAGGTGCACTTGACCCAAGCTACGGTATTCTCAGTAGCCTCATACACATGTGAAAGGTAAGGATAAATGAAGGAAATTTGATGCATTTGAATTGGGGTGCCAGGGAGGAGAATGGGCAGTATCAGGGACCGCCCGAAGAACACTCTGTCTTAAGAGAGGTACAGTCGGAGTGCTCCATGGAGGCAAGGGTGGGGAGCCGTCACCTAACACACTTTGGACGTGTTATCAGGAGAGGCCAGTCTCGGGAGAAGGACTTCACGCTTGGTAACGTAGCAGGGCAGTGAACGAGAGGAAGGCCCGGGGCAAGATGGGCTCACACCTAAGAACGATTGTGAGGATGGCACGGGACCGGCGGCGTTCAGTCTGCTGTGCGCAGGTCCACACGAGTGGGAAGGGATTCACTGGAACTTAAACACCCACCACCTTCACCGCAGCATCTAGTCTGCCCGATCGACTATTGGGTGGGGAAGCAAGAGGTAAAGGTTCTAGCATCCTTTTTCTTTTCATTTGTAGCCTTTTTTTGGGGTCTGTATCTCAGTTTAATGCCATTATAGATTAAAGAATGCTATCTATCTATCTATCTATCTTTTAGTTTACTTTCCCTCCTTTTTTTTATCCACTCAGACCAATATTTAGATCTGAGGGGTAAGAAATCTGGAGGGTTTTTTTTTTCCATGAAGCAATTTTTATTTATTTTTTCGTTTTTATTATTATTTTTTTCATGTTAAACCCTCCATTTTCTTGGTCCTCCCACCCCCGTCCATTTGAATCGCCATGCTTGGAAGACTATGTTTCTGTGGTAGGTGCTAGGGTTACTACGGAACAAGCATTTTGTGGTTCTTGTGGGATATCTGGGTGCCTGAGCAGACATCAAAAGGGAGGGACTGACACCCACAAGCTGGTGAGGTGGTCCCCGATGTCATGAAGAGAGCCCACCCACTAAGCGCCTCTATTCTCACATCACATGCTAGGCCCTCCGGTGGATGGGAATGTGGGCGCCCCTCCACTTGGCCGGCACTACTGCTGGCTTTCCGCCTCCTAGTGACACCTGTCACTCTCTTCTGAGCCTGGGGAGGATCTTTGATTGGACTTGGGAAACAGAGCCCCGTTTGGGGGTTATACGTACTATCTGAAGGAAGTCTGGGTTTTACATGAAGGGTAATGGAAGGCCAATAAAGAGGTCCTGATCTCAGCTAATTAAGATGAAAGAGACAAGAGAAAGGAATGATCCAAGTGGATGTTGGACGAGATGCTTGAACTTGCTCTTGATTCTAGAGGAGGCAAGGCAAACAGAAGAAACGGTGAAGTAACAGAGCTGAATGGAACATTTCAAAGGGCAGCTGATAAAGATCGAGTATTATAATGAAATGTGCAAGGACCCGGAGTTGGAAAACCCCAAAGGAAGGCCACACACAGCATGTATCAAGCTGGAAGAACTAAAGGACGCATTCAAGCCTTGGGTTGCAATAGCGAAAGATTCTATGGGCCAAATACTGAAGGATGCAGGGAGCGTCAAAAGAAGATGGAAGGAAAACACAGAGTCACCGTACCAAAAAGAACTAGTCAACATTCAGCCATTTGCCATCAAGAGATAGTGTATGATCAAGCACGGAAGGTACAAAAGGAAGAACTTCAGGCTGCACTGAAGGTGTTAGGGAAAATCAAGGCTCCAGGAACAGATAGAATACCAACTGTGTTAGTCCAGGTAGACTAGAGAAATAAATCCAGAGACACTCATATGTGTAAGAGAGAACTTCTATCAAAGAGCAATTGTACATTAAGAAAACATCCCAGCCCAGTCCAGATCAAGTCCTTAAGTCCTATATTAAGCCCATATGTCAATACCAGTCTATAAATTCCTCTTTAGACTCATGCAGCACATGCAATGATGCTGAATGCAGGAAGATCACAGGCCTGTGGCTGGAAAGTGTTGTGGACCCAGTGGTGGTAGAAGCATCTCAGTGCTGGCGTGGGTCTCCATGTGGTTCCTACAGTTCCAGGGCTCTGGCTGCATCCATGTAGCTCCATGTGGCTTGTCAGCAGGAAGACCAAGCAGGGAGCAATACAGGAGTTCCCTGAATCCTCAGGAGAAGGTGACGCCCACATGGAGATAAGACAGGCTAGACTCCACCCCTTCACTCAAGTTGACAGGAGCTTATGTAACTGCCACAACAACTGAAATGTTTCAACAAGCTGAGGGAACGCTGGAAGCACTCACTCACCCACGACAAGGCATTTAGACCGGTGCGAATCTTGCAGGCCAGCCTGGAGGAGGTTGGCTGGTACGAGGGGGTTGACAGATGATATTTCATACTGCTTTTCATCTACAAGCCTTTTCTGATCTTTCTGACCCTCCCCTTGCTCTAGAACTGACAATAACTTAGAGATTCCCCTCTTATACCTTGCTCCTCCTATCTTAGAAATGGGAGCCTCTGAGATCCTAGGAGATGGTCCTTGGGCCATCTCCTCCGGTGGTTAGCTGGTCTGTATTGTCACCCTGTCTGTGAGTTTGTCACACTG